CTGTAGTCATCAGTAATCCATCCATCCTCCTCTGGATGCAACCGTCCCGCCCCCTCCAGCAGCAATAATCTGGATGAACAGAGATTCCCATCCAGGAAAACCGTTTCTGCTGGCACTATTCCTAAAATCACATCCAATCACATTCCAGTGATGTCTCCATGATTCCAGTGAAGGTGCAGGATGACATCAGCATCATTCTGCTTCCATTCACAGGGTCTAACAGAAATATGTGTTTGACTGACTGATGGTTCAAGATCTGTTCTTCTGAGCTAGTGGACTTTCAGAATTCCTGCTGAGCTCTGCAGCTCGGTTTTCCATAGCAGAAGATCCAAGGAGTTCAGCATAAGATGGGCGGAGTTTGTAGTTGGTGGGAGGAGGAAGCTGCCAGTGTGGCGGCAGAAAACAGTCCCTCTGTCCCAGCTCAGGGCTCGGCTACATGGGTCTGGGCCATAGGAACTCCTGCTGATGTGTTCATTCTTCTGGAGTTTACATGAAAGACTAAAATGGAGTGTTGACACTAAAGACTGATTCATGCAGAAGGCAAATGGCACGCCAGAGAGAAGAAGAGAAGGTACAAGCTGTATCTCCCCTCCATCATCAAGTGTAACACAAGAACTAACAAGAAGACGAACGAGCTTGTGGCACTCGGCATGAGCAGCAAGGCATTTCAGGAGTGCAGCCTGGTGCGTTTCACTGAGATGTGGCTCCATGAGTCTCGACTGCTGTCAGTCACCAATAGCTGTGTCCATCGCTCCATTTACCATTATGTCATCTCATCCCGAGACTCCAGATGCTTTCATCTCTACCTCCAGGCTCTTCAGTCATGTCTGCATCAAAAGAGCAAAGAGTACTTTTCACCAAATGGTGAACTGTCCCTCTGCTATAAGCCACTGGCTCACTATTTTGGATTGTGGGTATACAGATTTTAAAACTTCCTATGCAACAACACAAAAAATAATTACAACAAAACCTTTTGAAGGTTTTTATTTTTTCATCCCCAGATATTAAAATACTTAGATTGAAATCTGTGATCCTCTTCTGCAATTATTACAAGAACAAAAGCCTCCTGTTCAGCCAGCAATGAATCCTGAGATAGCCTGGGTCTGATGGGCTCCCACACCAGGGGTGTTTATCAATGTCAAGGAACCTCACCTTGATGCCTTCGTCCCGGCCCAGTTGCCTAGGAGACACGTCATCGTGAACACAAAGGTGTGTTCCAGTGTTCATGTGCTACGGAGGCATTAGTCCTCCATCTGTTAGCCATCTCCATAGAAATGATATTTTCTTCTTCTTCTTCTTCTCTTGGTCAAAGATTTCCCAGAACACAGTGCGGTATTTTCAAAAGGAGGGTGGATCAGGGGCCAGCAGCTACTTCAGGGGCAAACTTCCTGTTTAAATGTAGGTCAACTAACTGTAGCTAGCAGGCTGATACCTGATTTTTTTATTTTTTTTATTTTTTAGATCCAAAGCAGTTGCTTGGTAGTTGCAGCTCTGGTGCAAGGAGGTTGTAGTAAACCTTACACAATTAATTAAACCAATTAGAAAACCTTGCATAATTCATTAAAGCAATTAGTAAACCCCACGTATCCAATTTAACCAATTAGCAAACTTTACATATTTAATTAAACAAATTAGTAAACCTTACATAATTAACTTAACCAATTAACAAACCGTACATAATTATTTTAGCCAATTAGTAAACTTTACATATTTAATTAAACCAATCAGTAAACCTTACATAATTAATTAAACCAATTAGTAAACTGTACATATTTAATTAAAACAATTAGTAAACCTTGCATTTTTAATTTAACTATATAAACAACTTAAAAAGTAAAAAGGTTGTTATACAATAATATTAAAACTTAAACATATAAAATATAACTTTAACTCATGTGATGTGACAGTTTTTTGTTCAGTTTGAAATTGTTTCTGAAATGCTAACTCAATGCTAACATTGTTAGCATTGCTCCCTCAGCAAAGAGCTAGCTTATAAATTAACAAGGTGCACACATACAAGGTAAAACCTTTGTCTTCATTTGATTGTGGCGTTTTAGATGTGGCCTAGATTATCACGTGTACGTTGTTGATCGTTATCCTCGGCAGGTGCTGCAGCGGTAACGTACAGATAGAGAACATTTATGTTACCGTGACCCAGAAATGATTCAGCTGGATAAAAAGTCAGGAAACGTCCAACTGGAGGGTTCAGGCTGAGATGGACTTCCTGTCAGTCTGTGTCGGATCATTGTTGCCTTATTGAGATTCATTCTGGTTTGCAT